TCCCTTGTACAAATGCTTTCCCAAAACTAAACAAGTTTTGGTCTTTCTCTACAGAGTTGTTTCCAAGCAGGTCAGTCCCCAGCCTGTCCTGGTTATTCCTCCTCAGGTGCAGGACTCTGCATTTATCTTTGTTGAATTKCWGACAGTTCTCTGCTCATTTCTCCAACCTGTTGAGGTCCTTCTGAAGGGCCGCATAGCACTCTGGGTTATTGCCCATTCCTCCCAGGTTCATATCATCAGTGAACTTGCTGAGGAGGCATCTCTTCCATGAGAGTCATGGATGAACAAATTAAACAATACTGTGCTCTCTATTGGACCTTGGAGGACACCAGTAGTGACAGGTCTCCAACTAGACCTTGTGCCACTGATTACAAACCTCTGGGATCTGCCATTCAGCCAGTTCTCAATCCACCTCACTGTCCACTCATCCATTCCACAGTTCCTGAAATTGCCTGTGAGGATGTCGTGAGAGACTGTGTTCAGTTTTGCTAGAGTGTAGGCAGACAATATCCATTCTCTTCCCTCATCCATTCAGGTAGTTGTTTCGTCATAGAAGATAATCATGCTGATCAAACATGATTTACCTTTAGCGAATCYATGCTGACCACTCCTGATCACCTTCTTGTCATCCATATGGATAGAGATGGTCTCAGAATGAGGTGCTCTATCACCTTTCCTGGGGTTGAGGTGAGGCTGACTGGCTGGTAGCTCCCTGGCCCCTCCTTCTTGCCTGTTAGAAGACTGGGATGACATTTGCTTTCTTCCAGTCCTCAASCACCTCTCCTGATCACCAGGACCTTTCAAAGATGATCATGAGTTGTCTTGTTGTGGTGTCCACCTGCTCTCCCCAGTTGTGGATGTATCCCATCAGGGCCCATGGACTTGTRGATGTCAGGTCTGCCTAGGTGTTTTCTAACCCAGTCCTCATTCACCAGGGGAGTCTTCCTTACAACATTCCTTTAGCCTTTTTGGTCTTCTGGGTCAGAGAGATTCCTGAGGACTGCTCTTGCAGATGAGGACCAATGCAAAGAAGACATTCAGTAACTGTCTTCTCTGCTTCTTAATTCCATTATAACTTCTCCCCTTCTGAGCAATATGACCTCTAAAGCAGACATTCACAAGTGATGAAGTATCATTCACAGAATCACTGAATATTTGGAGTTGGAAGAGACCCACAAGGATCATGAAATCCAGCACTTACATGAATGGCCCATAGAGGTATTGAACCTACAACCAAGGCATTATTGGCACCATGMTCTAATCATGTGAGCTAATCTCAGTGTCATTCTTCTGGCCTGTGGGAACCTGTCCTGGCAGAGACACTGATTTACTCCCACTGGTTCCATGTAATATGCATCTCAYGTGCTCTTTTGATTCATAATGGAGTACTTTCTCTAGTGTGTTGGAATATTTTTTCCCAGGTACATGCTAGCTGCATTTTTTAAAGAATATTGCTTGCATTGTATATTTGTGACAGGAGAGTGTTTCTCCCCTTTAGATRGTGTGTGACCTTTACTTCTGATATGATGGCAGCTTGTTCTTTAGGAGATACATGTGCACTTTAGATTAAATGATCCCCAGGCTATTASAAGCAAGAAAGTGTTTTACTAAATTGCAAGAGCAATCTTGATATGACTACAGTAAAGTTTCAAAGGGATACAGAAGTACAGGAGAAATTATTAGTTATCCTCTAATTTCAGTGTTGCTCTGTTAGTAGCTAGTTTAAGCTATTTACAGGACCTATGAGGGATTTGAAATCAGTTGATCTGATAAACAGTTCTAGTTTTTTAAAACTTTTCAAGAACTCAGTTCCAGTAATCATCCCTTTCTTCCCCCTTTCCTTCCTTTGCTGAAGGTCATCACATTCCAGTTTCCTAGATGAAAGGATGTTACCAGAATCGTTGCACAACTCCTGTGCCAGAACAATTGGCAGGGTGGTGTCTGATCTAGCCTTTTTTTGCATGGTATTAAATTAATGAAGCTGCATACTGCCCARAAAGCCAGTTGCTGGARAATTGCTGCAGTCCTGGCAGTTTTTCTAGGYCTACAATTGAGCAGGTGTGGACAAAGCTCTGAATTTCAGGAGATGCTTGGGCTGGGAAGGGATTTAGAGGTCCTGTTTGAGTGCTCCAGCTCTGTTTGGGTTGCAAGGGGAATCAGCAATGATACCTACTCACTGCCACTTCCAGCACTGCTTGGTTTGTCTTTGTGGTCCTAGAAAGCATGGTAGAACTGCAGTAGCAGTTAACAGCCTGCTACACTGCTGTGTATCAGTGGGGTTGAACCAGCAAATGTTAGTAAAGCTGAACACTGGATATATTCTTGTTGCGTAATATTGCCAATCCTATTCAATTAGCATGTGGCATCACTCTTCCAAGTGCAGGATTTTATAGTGGAGTAGGAGACTAAATGTGTTGAATTGCAGAGAAGAGTGGTTGCACAGGATGCAGCACAAAAGGCAAGGAGAGGACAAGGACCCTGTACTCAACTTTTGTTTGATTCCTAGTGCTTTGCTTCACCACAACTATAGCTCTCCTCAGATGGTAATGACATGTGGTGGGTAGTGAGCACATGCCTCTGAGTATGTTTTCAAGTTCTTGGCAATGTTTTYGTAGCTGCAAGTTTTTAAAGGAGTAATAATTTCATTAAGTTACTTGATGGCTTGAGAGTGAAGCAAAAGCTGATAGACTTTTGAGACCCACGAACCCGAAGAGGGCCAGCATGTTCCAAATCTGTTAGTTGCTCTTAATAAGTAACTACATCTCCATAGAGAACAGAAAAACTTGTTCTTGAGACTTGTTTACATTCCAAAGCACTCTTCAATCCATAAAGATAAATCTAGAATCATAACCTGTTTTTATTGGTAGGAGTTTAGGAACGACTGTGAAGTGGTTACCAGCTACAGATTGCTCTTTAATCTTTACTCTGGAATGCTCCCAACAACATGGAAAAGGGTGTGAATGTGTCGAGGGGAAAACCATAAAGGTGATGAAGTTCCTTCTGATTAAACACTGTAAACTCTATGCTTTATGGGAACACAGAGAAATTGTATGTATGGCAAAAGCTGCATTCCTCATCACGGGAGAGGGGCTGATCACAGCAGCTGTGTACGTCCCTTACTATTCCATAGTGGTGAMATCTGATTTGTATTTGGATGCAATTGTACATCAATGACCTGACATGACAGAAACTGGCGCATTTCTGTGTAGGAGATGTACAGATGCAGCTTTCTCAGAARAGACCAAAATAGCTTTTTTCTGCATGCAGTTTGCTGTGGACACTTGTGTATTTATTGATTGCCTTAATGTTAGAAATGCAAGAAGTGGCTTTTGGCCCTCTATTTTTAGTATCTTGCAGAAAGCTGCTGCTTTTAATTTTATTGAGTTTGTTTCTTTTTTCAACTTCATTCTGCACTCTGTGGTATTTTAAATGACCAAATATTGGTCTGAAAACATAAGAGAAAGCTGGRTCTCTAGTAAAGGATCTGATCTGATGTGAACCAATTAAAAATTTAGTTTTGTAAGCACAAGAAACCTTTGTGTTTTACTGAAATCTTACTGCTTTTGTGGGAAGAGGAATTAAGCTTCTGGAGAAACTCTGGGGGAGCAAAGATTTAAGAAACAATGCAGTTAATGGAGAAGATGAGATGTCTTAAGTGGCAGTCAGTGCTATTAAAAATACCAGCTTCTACCCACTAATGATGGCCAAGTTTTGCAAACTTAACAGGTTCCATCCTTTTTGCTTATGCTATGCCTTTGATGGGATTTTGCTTTTGATTGCCTGGTTGTGGGTGGAATGTCTGATACTCTTGGCAACAAATACTATATAGGTTCTTAAAACTACATTTGTTCTGGCCTGGAGCAGAGCTATGTGGGTATTGGATGTTTCTTTGAGACCTGGCATTCCTTTTAGTTAATCCCTRTATGTTATCTACAACTTTAAAGGAAGATGATTAATGTCTAGCAGCCACCTTCACTAGGTGGCATAGATCTGCATGCAGTACATTTAATGGTTCAGTTTATGAATCCCCTGTCTGGGCAATGCAGTGTTTGAGTAATCAATTACCTAGAAATATACGTTGTGGACCAGAGACAAGTAAGTTAAGTGTTACTTATTATAGTCTCATCAATGGCCTAGTGCTTAATCTCYTAAACACATTGGAATATTAGTTGATCAGAAATGCTTTATTATCTGCTTAAGTGATGTGAACCTTTCTTGTRGGCAATACAGGAATATAGCACAGTGCGCTAGGCTAGAATTTAATTAACTGATAAATTGATTGTTCTATGCATATATTAGAACAGCTGGAATATTTCAATGATACTAGTTGTCTAATATCTTGTGTACTAATTATGACAAATGTAAAAAAATCCATACAGAAATGGCTGAATACATGATAAATTGGCTGCTGCCATTTAAGTGAAGCAAGCTGGATTATCAGAAGTAATCGGTTTAATTTAAACCCAGCTCATCTTAACTGAAAAGGGTTAGGGAGCAGCCATGTGACAGTTAAGCCAAGAGATCTAAAGAGGAAAGTAGTAATTTCCATTAATACAGAAAAGCAGCATAAAACATGGTGAACAATCCCAGCTGATTCAATAGGCTTCCATTAATTATTCAAAGTGTAAGCATGCTCTTCAAGATGCAGTTACTAATGAATTCTGAGCAAACTTTGAATCTTGTTTAAAAGCAGATAACTGCCTTTTTTTGGCCAGGTATCTCTTGATTGAAAGAAAACCTGATATGGAAAAACCAGATAGTGCTTGGACTTGGTAGTTATGCCTGTCCTGGTCTGTTCAGACTTACCAAAAAAGGCATGATTAATCACGATTACATGAAGGAGAAGAAACTGCAAAACCCAATTTGCATTTATTTGTAACACTTCCATAAGCACAAGCAATACATTAATGTTTTGTACTTTACTCTGAGGTCTTGTGTTGCAGTTATGCATGTGACTTATAACAATTAATTTCATAGTCTCACCTTCAATCCTTTTCTAGGGAGAGCACGTGTGCAGCAGCTAGCAGAGAACACAAGATATTTCAGGAGGCGACTGAAAGAGATGGGCTTTATCATCTATGGAAATGAAGATTCCCCAGTTGTGCCTCTGATGCTGTACATGCCAGCAAAAATTGGGTAGGTTTGACAGCATAACTTCTTATCTGTCCTCTTTAATTTTAAAGATAGGATGGTGTAAGAATATGAAGAGTTTTCTAAATATAAGAAAATACTAGTTTGATTTTTGCTTCTTTTGATCATTACTAAGTCTTATAAAATATGGAAACTTCCTATATGTAATATTGAGAAATCGAGGCTTGTAGCTTGGGACATCAAGAAAGTACTTTGGGGAAGCAATTTTGCCTCTTATGTGTCACATTTTAAAGGTTGGATTGTGTATTTCCGTTCTATTCATATGTAAACTGCATAAATGTACTAAAGAGGAGCTGAAATTAAATGGAAATTAACATTAAAAGTCACTGGAGAAAGTCTTTCAACTAGCTCCTGAATTGGAAGGAGCCAACATTCCATTGATGAACTTTGAAAATTAAGAAAGGAAAAGCATTAGGGCAAGACATGATGGGACACAACAACATGTATTTAATGAACCCCAAGTTTTTAAGAGGTCTGGATTTAATCAGTCAGGTATTAGTGTTGTAAATACTAATACAACTGTAGCACATAGCTTTATCAATGCTCATCGACTTATGGGGTGCTGTGTGGATAATTAAGGTTMAAATTCTGCAAGGAGGATATATAATGTATATATTAAAAATTTTTGCAACATAAATAAAAACCTGATTTCAAGGTCATCTTGGCTTTGATCACTACTTTTCAGTGGCTGTATAATGCAGTGCACAATCAACACTTTCAAATTTGGAAAGCGTAATTTCATTTTAAGCTTCATTTTCATTTAAGTACTGAACATCTGTAGTGCTTCACTAGCTCAGGCTTCAGTCTGKCACTTTTTATGAAGCTAGATACAGTCTTTCTCCACCTTTCTCAGTGTAACAACATTTAAAGGGTCTGTTACCTTTATGGGTGCTGCCTCCAGCACAGAGAGGCAGCTGGTTCCGCTGCCTAGCTTCTCTACCAGCCACTACAATCTTTTCCCTGGAAATGTTCATGGAAATATTTATTAGTTGAGCAGTTGGGCCTGTAACTTACTTAAAATGAGCAAGAACAGAGAGCTCTGACAAGAGTGGGCCCTTAGGATCTGCATCASGTTTACTTGATCTTTTCTTTGTCCCTTGTAGCCTTTTTTTAAAATAGTGTGAGAGTACTAAATGAATACAAAATGAAGTGTATCAGAATGTGTTTATAAGGAAAACAGYTGTGACAGAAAATTAAAAAACCTAATAAAAGAATGTTATTTCTATGTGTCCTTATAAGCCTCTTAAGTTCATTGCTACTTCTCACAAGGTCATTTCAAAAAGGATTAACCATTTCCTGTGGCCTGTGGAAGCACCCACAATTGTGCTGCACTTAGAGAAAGGATTAACATCTTTGYGCCTCTCATTGCATAAGTCACAACCACTACTTTCTTTAATCTCCTTAAGAATTTGTTTTGGTGAAGATAGTGTGTGACAGTTGTCATGATACTTTTCACCTTCCTTAAAAATATTTGGTATCATATCTCAATTTACTGTGGTGATTCAGTGGTTCTGGYGATACTTATAAAGTGATACATTCTGTGATACAGTAACATACGCGATTAAAGTTAGATTCATGAAAACAAAATATCTTGAAATTGCAGAAACATCCACTTTGGGGCATTGCAGCATGAGGGTTTCCTCGTGTAGTCAAACTTCTGAGCCAAAATCACTGTTTCCTATTGGAAAGATTTTCCAGCTTAAGTTACAAACCCATTTAGAAACAGCCTGCTTAAAAGACCAGTCTCTGCCACATATAATCTTTCAGCTTTGTTAGAAATTAATACAGTGAAACCTTTTGAGAAGGACCACCTTGGGACTGAATTTAAAAAGTGTTTTTGTGAGCAGGCATTTCTGCCTCTAAAAAGAAGCACTGGAAGCTCCAAACTGTGGTCTGACAGCCTTGCTTCAACAAAGGGTTATCATCTTGAGTTCATCATGCTCCTGCTTTGCTGCCTCTGGAATAATTGTGACAATCTCATTGTCTCTGGCAGTGCGTTTGGGCGTGAGATGCTGAAGCGGAACATCGGTGTTGTGGTTGTGGGCTTCCCTGCCACCCCCATCATCGAATCCAGAGCCAGATTCTGTTTGTCTGCAGCTCATACCAAAGAGATGCTTGATACAGTAAGTGTCTCGTCTATTCTTCCTTTTGCTCATGCCTGCTAATAAATAGATACAACAGTTGTCTGGGTTTTGTACATTGCTTCAATGTTTGGTAAACAAACTGGTTGGACCTAATCTTCAAAGCCCTTTGTAGTAGAGCTGGCAATGACTCCATCTCTTTCCTTACTTCAATAGTGCAGAATGGCTGCTTACAGTAAATCTCAGGAATTTCTTGTCCTCTTTTTAAGGGAGACAGTCTTATTCCTGTGAGACATGGCTTTTTCCCCCTCTTAAAAGACTATACCTTGCATTGAACTGGTTAGAAGGAAACATGCTGCTTCTTCTGACACTAGATGCTAATGGTAAGAAAAACAATATAAAGGTCTGAGAACTCCAAAACATAGTCTTCTCAAAAGGAAGCACATGATTACTTCAATTAGTCAGAATTTTTATTCCAAAGATTACTGTTCCAGTTGTTTAACGTTTCAGAGCACTCTATCGTAAATGAACCTGTTCTAATGAGTTTGTGCCATATGCAATGCCTTACTTACTCTTACCTGCACCTCCAGAGGGAAYAGAGGTCCCCTGGAAGGTGGCCTGCATCACAGTTAGGAGAGGCTGCCTTCAGAAAGTAAGGATGGTGGTTACTCTCTGGCAAATAGAGTTGAAAGAGGATTAAATGAATAAGCCTGACCATTAGTGTGTTTTGGTGTGGTATCTACATTTAATTTTGGAATAATTGTTTTTGACGGATGTGTGTACATGCCCTGTCTTGGGCACTGCCAAAGTTCTGCATTGCATTTTTTTCCCCACTTTGAGGGTCTGTAACTCAGAATTTTAGCTAGGTTGAGTAATGAATTTGGACTTCATGAGCGTAGAGTCTATCCTGCTCAGAGACCTACTTGAAAGAATCTCATAGGATACAACCTCAAAGAGCAGAAGTATCCAGGACAGGTAGTTGATTTTTCCTCCCCACTCCTTCCCTGAAGAATGACCTATCCTGACTTGCAGGAGAGTGAATGTGGTGTGAAGGCTGCATGGATGAACAAACCAACAAAAATGTTATCACCACAGTTTGTAAGAGGTGCAAGCAGGGACAGGTGACCAAGGAAGAATAGAGACGCAGTCCTGAGCATGCAGGGATGGGGTCAGGAAAAGCAAAGCCTACCTGGAACTCAGCCTATCAAAGGACATGAAATGCAGCAGGCAGAGCTTTTGTTGGGGGTATTAGTATCAAAAGACAGAGTAGAGAAAATGTGGGGGACTGTGCCTGAATGGCARCAGGGAATCAGGTGACAAATGCATGCAAGAGGCAACAGTAACTCAGTGCCTTTGTTGTCTCAGTCTACTGGTGAGACTTCAGAAATCCTGAAACCACGGGATCAGTGGAAAACTGTGGAGCAGTAAAGACTTACCTTTGGTGTGAAGAAAGCTCCAATAAGGGATCATTTAAACAAAATCAACGTGCACACATTCATGGGGCCTGATGAGGTGCATCCACAAGTGTTGAGAGAGCTGGCTGTTACTGGAAGGCTGTTCTTGATTATCATCTTGGGAGGAAGAGTTTGTGGTGGTTGAGGGAGGCTCCTGAGGACTGGAMGACAGCAAATGTCACCAGTATCTTGAAGAAGGACAAAAAAGTGTGAGGATCTGCGGGTTGAAAAGCCTCACTTTATCTTGAGAAGATGGTGGAGAAAAAAAAATCTTGAAACAATTTTTGAACATTTTGTGGACAAGAAGGTGATTGGCAGTAGTCATGGAGTTAAGAAGGAGAAATCATGCCCAATGTCCAGATATGGTCAGGTGGTAACACTACAATATGTGAAGTGCAAATAGGGCATATAACAGATATTTACTAATGTCTTGTCAAAAAACAATAGACTTAATCTTTTCGCACTTTACTGTTGCAGAACTTACATAAAAACCAACAGCTCAAAATGGCTGGACAGATAGTAAGGCAGTGAGTGGTGGGAGCAGTTTTGTAATGTATGTTTAGTGTCATTAAATAGTATTAACCTGCTGTGTRTCTGCAGTGCTATACTTGCTGCTCCTGAGTTGTTTCTGCCTTGTGATTCTCCAACAGACTGTTTAAGAAGTTCCTTCTCAGCTACTTGTCCTGCTGCTCTTCCCTTAATTATCTCAATTTCATTGTTTCTGCTCCAAATAAAAGTTTTGATCAAGTATGTTCAGAGAAGACCCTCTCCTTTTCTTCCTTTCCCCCTGTATAAAATKAGTAGCATCAGACTTGGCTCAGAGCATGGTAATAGACCTGAGTTCATTGACACAAATGAGGGAGCAGTAACTTCTGGGCAGGTGGAGATGGAGTGGGGATGAATAAGAGGTGGGAGGAAGGAAAATAAAGAAAACTGGAGTCTCTGAAATCATGTTGCTGCGAATTGAGCTAAAACTGAAACCATAGAAACTTGATGTGCGGGCACTACCTGAGCAATCATGCAATTTTACAGTCGGTTAGGTTCCTGGTCTTCTCTCTTAGTGACTAGCTTGGGCCTTTGCCATAACAAGCTGCTTTTGTAGGGTCTGTATAAGTACCAGTCTTGCTCTCTTCCAAAATCTTTCTGTAACTTTTATTATTCTGCTTTAAAAAGCTCTTTTCCTGTCAATTCTTACTACATTTTCCAAAAAATGTTTCAAATGTTGTGGATTTAACATAAGACTCATTGCTAGAGTACCTCTGTAAGTGTTAAATACACTAAATTGAGGAAATGCTTGTTCAGTATATTAGAGCTTGTCTGCCTAAGAAAATTAATCCAGAGCAAAATGAGGTGTGAATTTTGAAGTGAATGAAGAAATTTTTATTTAGCTCAGTATGTGGAGGCTTTGTTCCAAGTTAGTGTAACCCCTTTAAGGTTCAAAATAGCTGCGTGCTCAGAACACAGAACATTGGCAAGAGGAGTTAATAAGGAGCAAGTCTTTGTGTCAGTGACTTTGTACTGTGTTTTCTTGTGATGCAGTGAAAGGGGACTGATTTCAGGCAGCTAATCATTCAGGCAGCCCTCTAATCAGATCTAATCCCTCTGCTAATTGTGGAAACAATATCCAGGAGGAGGAAGAGCTAAAATGAATGGACTTGAGGGAGAGCTGGTAGACAGCTTCTGCAAGTCACAGAGAGGATAACTTGGTATCCCATCTACGTATTTCTGAATGCTAACTAGGGCTCTTATGGCATTTTTTAAACAAAACTCATCCAGGTTAGAAGCATAGGGAAGAGAAGCTTGTCTTGCAAATGGTGATATTTGTAATGCTTCCTTCTTATTATTAAATACACCCACATGATGGGAAACAGTTCTTAGTTACAATTTTAACTGTTTTATGTAAATAAAACTTCCTTGCCTAAAAATATTTGGCTTAGGATCAGAGTGAAGTCTCTCATAACCTGCATCCCTGTGGGCTGGTGCTTTCTTTTCAGTGATGAAAAATATATTACACTCTGCTAAAGTCAAAGTACACCAATGCCATTTCCTTTGTAGTCTTTGCTGGTCACATGGCCCTTTTTGTTTTAAATTAATAAAATCCTAAATCTGCATTCAAGAATAACAGTTAACATACTCTTTCAACAGAAATTCAGCTTTAAATTGCTTCCATATGGGATCTTTACTTAAAGGTCTGGCAGACTGTGCCCACACTTTTGTTTTGTTTTGTTTTTACTGAGGTCCAACTTCTGGGTTTGTCGTTCCCCCAGATTTTAGAGTGCAGAGGTTTTTGCTGCCAGATATAACAAGCATGAAGGGCCATTGTTTAAAGAAACAAAAACTTGAACTATCCATCTAGGAAGAAAAAACATGTAGAGATATTAATCCCCATCTGCCAACTGTCCTTGAGAGACAAGCATTTGACCCAGAACATATTAAAATTGGAGCATTAATGYTGAATTAGTGACACTCTGAAGGAATGCTGAATGTAATTGTCTTAATAAATATACAATTYAAGGCARGGAGAAATGCCATTCTTTGAATTCAACAAAAATCACATTGGACTTGGAAGTAATCGTCTGAATTCATTTTTTGTCACTTGCCTATATACAATAACTAGCATCACATAGTATTGCAGATTTGTCTGCAGCAACTGATTTATTTTGTACTTCGCTCTAGGAGTGTTCTGTAGAAAAATGAAGTTTAGGATTTGGCTTTTAACAGACCCTGTTGTGGACCAATGTCTTATCAGAGATTGCAACATAATGGAAGTATGATTAACTGAGCTGGGACTTGCCTCATTCCTTACGCAAGCAGATGTTTGATCTCTTCATAACATTTAGTTCAGGTCAAAATGGTGAAAGGTTGTGCTAATTCAGTAGCAGTGTTCTGGATCGTCAATTGCTTGAGTGTGGCCTTTGTGGCAGCCTCAGTGGGACTTGCTTTCTAGGGAGAAAATGCTTAGGGTCCAACCCAGAATAACTTTTTATTTTTAATTCCTTGGATTGTCTGGCAAAAGTCTCCTGTGCCATGTTGTTTATGTCACAGAGCTTTTATCTCTCATTTTATATGGATAATGCAAATTAACCAAATGTAGATATAACAAATGCATCTATAGAACTTGTTAGCTCACTACTGTAGTTTGTCTTTGCTATTTTGCAATTTAAAAATTACAGTATAGATCAGGTATGCTAACACAGGATGTTTTCATACTGAACGATACATAAAGAGAGTGAAACCTCCATGTACTTTTTTTTTCTACTTCAGCTTCATTACCTCCAGGAAGGGAGAAACATTATTCTCTGTTTTTCTATCTATGAATAATCATAGAGTTTGCTGGATACTATGTTCCTGTTTTGGAACTGGAATAGTCAGGTGGATGCATAGGTGCTCTCAGTGCTGTTGATTTGGTCTCAAAATTCCTGAATGCTAAAATAAAAAAGTAATCCTATGCACTTCTGAAAGTACTGGCTTCTAGCACGGTAAAATCTCAATTAAAATGGCTGTCAGAGTAGTCTGCCGGCATGCATAGAGGAAGATGTGCTGATAACTTGCATCTGTCTCCTCTGCTGATTTACTCTGGTCTCTTTGTCAGGCTTTAAAAGAAGTCAATGAAGTTGGGGACCTTTTGCAACTGAAATATTCTCGTCGCCGTTTGGTACCTCTCTTGGACCGGCCGTTTGACGAGACAACATATGAAGAAACAGAAGACTGAGCTCCCTCCATGTGCCTCAGTGGGAGGGACACACCCCATGGGACACTCTGTGGCACACCGGCCACAGCATCCGTGAACAACACACCTATGACTGCTTAAAGACATTTCCTCACAATACTGAAGTGGCCACATCAGCTCTAAATGGCATTTTGTAAATAGGGAGAGGAGAAAAAAAATTCTTTGATTCCTGTGTCTTCAGGGTCTGGCCCTAGAGGTGCTTGGCTTTATTTTTTTCCTGTTGCTTTTTTTTAATTTATTTGTCTCAATGCATTCATAGCAGCCCAAGCTGGCTGTGGCTGATTAGTTCAGACTTTGTATGCACCATTAGCCTCCCAAATGCTGGCTGAGATGTTGTGAGCATGTGTGATGCTGGCATGGCAGCATTTTCAGTGTCAYTGCTAGGTGTCTGATCTTCCCAATAAGGAATGAGCTGACCTGTCTGTTTTTGGCGACTTCCTAGAGAAACTGTTGATTGCTAACTTTGACATATTTAACAAGATGGATAATCAACCAAAGTTGTTTTTTTCATTTGCAGTTACTTATGTTTAAAACTTGAATTTAGCCTTTTTAAAATAAATGTGTTGTTGACATGTCACTGACAAGACCATTGCTCCTAAGCGTTACTCAGTTTTGTAAGCCACAGGCAGAAGGACTTCTGGAACTGTAGCCTCTTTTCCTTYCCAGTATGGATACCAGATTGTCTCCTGGTTTTGACATTAATTGTCCCCTTGATAGAGGGTAAGTGATGGAGAGGGGTTTTTTTTTTTGGTTTTTAATACTTCTGTTTGAAAAAAAGAAAAAATATGGGTTGTATGTGTTGCTTTCTCATCTTCAGGTTAGTTTCGCTTGCTTTAGAATTATCATAAAGTCACAAAGAAGTCACTGCTGAGTTCTAGAAGGGTGCTCTTGGGTTTAAGTAAACTAGAGCAAATCTTGTGCTTATTCTCAAGACTAAGCCCCCTCAATAAGCAGGCCTACACAGTAGGAGAACTGTTTCGTGCAGATGTGTGAAAGACTGCTGCCCTTTGCCATGCTAATTCACTGTTTCTTGTCATATATGAGGTGTTCTTCACTGGCCTTGTTGCGCATATGGACAACTTGAATCTCATCATCATACATTTTGGTCTGCAAAGTCTCCATTGGCAGCTGCCTGTCTGTGTAGGCCTTCCCTGAAGAACATTCTCACAATTATATTTCATATGACATTTTTTTCTTTTGTATTTCTGTTACTGATCAACACTGATCAAATCAGTATTCACTGAGCCAGTTGCTGTTTGGAGTCTTTATTTACAAGTTTCATACTGTCCCTCTGTTTAAAATAGATGCCTTTTTTTCTATCACACCTTAGAACTGGTCTGCTGCTTAGTCTTTACATCTTGAATTCTTTAAGTGAACAGAATGGATCAACAAAAAGGTACCAAAAATTTTTAATAGGAATCAGTTGCAGTATAGTTTTTTTCTGTATTTTATACTTAGACATTTAAGATTTCTGCAAAGGTAGTAAAAAGTTAACATTGTCTCAGTTGGGTTGGGCCAGCTCTTCAGTTTGGGTTAGCAAGATGCTTTTTGCAGGTGATTGAGGTTTTAGAAACAGACTCATCATCATAATACTAAAACAGAGGGCAGCTCAAAGCTCTTTGTGTGGTGCTGCAAAAAAACCCAACAAGTTTTTTAAAGTTCTTTTATGTTCACTCTGCAGCTAACAGGGAAGGAGTGCTTTGGCCACTAGAACCAAGCAGGTCTGCAAAAACATCTGGTGATTTAAAGCAGAATTGGCTTCTATTTTATAGAATATCTAACTTCATGCATTTATAGATCTTGTTCCATTTTAATGTAATGGAACTTCAAAACACTGGTTCATTTTTTTTACCATTGGATTTCAGAAATCTAATTATATGAGAAGAACTGAAATTGGCTGTTTGAAAAGAGGTCCAAATAACTATTTCAGTCTTAGTCTGTTAATGTTGGTGGGCTCTTGTTCTGAAGCCGAGTGCGTGCAGAGTCTGCGAAGTCTGTATGTGCAATTTGGACAGCTATGAAATAGTCTCACATGCTCAGCCACAGAATGAATAAACCACAATTAGCTGAGCTTACTTTCTCATCCATGTTCTGCCCAGGACTAGCTGTAACATTTCAGCAAATGACCTGCTTTCTGACCTCAAGAAAAGCTTTATCTCAAAGCACTACTAATTTTTTTTCTCTCTGGATTGTACTAGGGAACAAGAGGAGGTTAGTACAGGAAGCTTGATCACTGAATGGTTTAAGAGCAGACAAAACTGACCAGTTTAAAGGCTTAGGTCAGTAGGTAGCTGTTTTGAGCATTCACAAATGTACAGTATGTTTGTCTGCTGTGTAGTAAAATCAGTTTGGACACTGTGATGTATTAAGTTAGAAGTGGGTTATCATAGATTCTACAAGTCTTGAATCTCAACCTTGTCTCTGGGAATCAGTTTTAGAGGAGCTTGTCTTTGGAAGGGAGAAAAGCATCTGGAAAAATCTTCATAATATAGATAAATCCTGTGTAATACTTTGGAAATTGTCAGTGTTTAAAAATTACTTGTGTCTGTCTGGTTTCTAGTTGCACTTGTCGAGGAAATTGTGTTCAAGCTTCTGCCTTTTAGCATCTTTCTGCTGTGTCACACTGTCTGCATATAACTTTGAATTTTGAGTTTGAACTTTGAGTGCAAAGACACTTCAGAAATAATTCTGGCAGTTAGTTGCATTTGCAAACTGCTTGGTTACATTTCAGCCTTGCCATATCCTTCTTGGGAAGCAAATCCCCCCACTCCCCTCTGAGGCCTTTTGTTCAAGAGGACCTGTTTTGCCAAAGTCTGGTAAAAATAATGAAACCTGTTGAAATTGCTTCTGAAAAACTAAGAAATTACAAGTCAAAGATTTCACACTTTTAATTCAGTAATCCACTGAGCATGAAAGCCAGGAAAATATTTTTGCATCTACTAATAAAACTGTCCTGGTTTGTGCTACAGCATGTGTGCTATCACAGAATGTGTAGGATGGATTGCTGTTTTGGTATTTATGTACTGACCAGAAATCTGTCTCCTTTTTCTCCTGGCAGTAGAAATGAATGAAAGAACCAATCTTGAGAGATCACAAAGGAAGAAAAGCTGCTTAAGAAATAAGACTTCAGTCCCTGCCAACTTTTCAGAGACATTCTAATTGAAAATGACTCTTGGTATTTCTTAAGAGATGCAAAATTCAAAAGAAAATGAAGGCTGCTTTTGAACAAAGGATTTTGCCCTGTACTGTATATTGGCTAAACTTACTCATAAATATACAATAGCTACCTTCCCAGTACCTCTCTGAAGAACTTAGCAATAAAGTTTTTGCCTCTGTTGAGCACAGTGAAGAGTTTAGAACCATGACCATTTTTAAGGCTAATGGCCTTAAAATCTCTTTCACTTGTAAGAAAATTGAGAGGCTTGTATTACCAAGCATCAGCAAAGAGTGGGATATCTGCTTCTTGTTAGAAACTGGTCTTCCCAAGTAGATCTTAGTCTTAAGGAACCTGATTCTTAGTTTTGCTTCAGTTCCTTGGAAGAGAAGAAACCAAGGTTTTTTGTGGCAAAATATTCAGGGCTTTCATTTTTGTTTTTTACGCAACACAAACTTTTGTATAGTATATATATATATATACACATATATATGGTATATTTAACTCTTAAGTTGCTATATCTTTTCTAAGTAGCATCCCTAAAGAACAGTTGTGGTTCTTGAGTTACTGGTGTAGTATGCTTCTGCTTTAGGCAAAGACTCAGGAGCAAGTTGACCAAACATCCTTCTGTGATGAAGTCATTCAATGAAGGAATTGCATTATCTATCCTCCTCTTGCTGTTTCATCTAAGAGTGCAGAAGTGGTACTTGCTATTAGAGCTGCACCTTCACACAGAATAGGCAAGGGAAGTGTGCCCATTAAATCAGTGACTGTGCTGTGTGAATGAAGGACTGATACAGAAGAGATGGCGAAAAGGAGTAGTCAATCATCACTTATTTTCAGCTGTACAGGGATCTTTCATGTGTACTTGAACAGGTATCCCTAAATGAGGAATGCAGCTTTCAGTGCCTAAAGGGACACTCCTCTAAAACTTTTCCACACCAAGTAAATACTTTTTTTCCTTCTGTGCAAATTTTGATTTCTTTACCTCTGAAAAGCATTTGGCTTGCAGCTGTTTGCTTGTTCAGAAACCATGTTATCCATTCAGGGAGATCATAGGTTGGAGGAAAGCATGAGCATGACTTCATTTCATCTAAGAGAACAGCTTGCAGCACTGGATCTGGAGCATTATGCAAGAGCCCCCTTGCTGCATCACAGAGAAGGAAACTTGTGGAGATGTATGCCAATATACAATGCTCAGTCAGAATTTATGCAGTTTATACATATTATTTTTACCGTTTATATGCAGCCTATGAAAGTGTCAAGTATGCTGGGATGTGTGTGGGTGGCACCTTCTGCATGGAGATTTGAGGCACCTGCAGTCAGTTCTGTTTCAGCWCTAGTGAAGCACTGAGCTGTTCAGGAATGCTCAGTATGACCCCTCAGCAGGTGCATTGTTGTCTTTGGTGCTGGACCTGACACCCAAGTAGCATTGGACCACTGTTTGGGAAAAGCACCAGTCATTTGACCTACATAACCTAAAMATGGTTTGAAAAGAAAAAAACTATCTCAAATGTCATTCTGATGGCATTGTACTCCTGTAAACATCCCCAGACTTGTAGCTGTTCACCTATTCAAAGATTCAGACATAATACTAGAGCAMAAAGATAAAGTGTTTGTGTGAAGTATTTGTGCTTTCATTAAAAAGAGAAGCATTTGCTGCAGGCATTGGAGCTGTTGTGATTATATCACCAGAAAGGGCTAGGTGAAGCAGATAATGACTGTGGTGTGTGTCGAAGGCCTTAAACTGATTCGTGACATGTAGAATTGAAATTAAGACTGACCTTGAAGAATGCAGTGGATTTTAAMCTATGGAAGAATACTTTGTGCTCTTTGTTAAGCAGTTTGTACTGCTGTTTTCTTGGGAGGGAGAGGTTCAAAATTCAATTTGTGTGTGACCCTGGCTATCAGCTGTTTAAGGAGGTGTCTGTACGTGGGAGCCAAAGGTAGTGCAGTTCTCTGCACGATGTTCCTGTGTAGTTTACACAGTTCTTCTGTAGTTCCATCGGTAACTTGTTCCTGGGCTGCTGAAAGTGGGAGACCTATTAAAAGGATCAGGGACTTCAGAACCAGTGGCAGCTAGCAAATTCACTTCCTCAACAGCAGGTGACCAGGTCTCACATGAATATGCCAAGGGTTGGTGCCATTCCAAAAATATCCATGTTGAGGTGAAACACGCAGCAAACCATCTGCCTTTTGTAAACATTGGTGGTTTGGGGTTTTTTTTGRTTTTTTTTTGTTTTTTGCCAAAGCTCGTCCTATTCAGACAGTATTTCTGCTACCCCCTAATGGTATATTAAGCTTAATGCATCTCTAGCCTCCCAATATTAACTTCAGACCCATTTGAGAAAGAACAGAGGAATGCTGGAGCCTGAAGCTTTAGGCTAGCAGCCCCAAAGCCAATGGTGGCCCACATTTCCACAAGCCCTGGGCAGAATTACTAAGTCACGGCACTTCGTCTTAAATTGCACTGTATTCTTATGCCTCTGTGTTGCTATAATGTACATATATATTGGATTTTTTTGTAGATAAGACATTTTAGATAAAATTTTTAAATGGGCTCCCCCCAAAATATTTTATGCCAGATGTCTAATTTTTTTTACACTTGTGATTAACATGAATATGGATGTTCTGTGGGCAGGGAAAAAAAGATAAATGGATAGTATATTGGCTTTAAAAAGGTAACAATGCATGTTAAAAAAAAAAAAAAACACTGGAGAAAAAACTGCTTGGGAAAAAAAATTAATTAAAATATATTCTATGTTCTGCATAATAAAGACTTTAAAAAAATGCTATAGTGTGGCTTTGGCTTTTTTTTTTTCTTAATGCTAATGAGGCTTTTCCCTATTAAGGAGACCAAATCCTTTTCCTTCCCAGTCCCTCTCCCACCCATCCCCAAAATAAAAACCTCAAAAGAATTCAACACACAAGTTTTATACTAGAATGGATAAAACATAGCCTGTTTGAGAGCTCAGACTCTCACTGTTCCCCTCCAGCCTTGTACTCCAGAGGCAGGAAACCTTGCTTGCAAGATGGATGCTTAGCTATTTTTTGGCAGTCTCAGGTCCATGGTACAGCAACAGGCTTGATGTGCAGTCTAGAAAAGCCGCTTCTGTTGTGGAGAGATGCCTGCAGCGGTAGCTGAGGCGCAGCGCTCCTGTGATGAGTGCCCGCTGTAGTTCGGTGCTGGCCCCAAAAAGCTGCTGCGCTTGAAAGCCAGGCTGCTACCCTTGGGTGCTGTTACAGTGTCAGGCTGCTCTCAGCTGTCATGCTGCTAATGAGATGTTTGAAAGAGCTGCCTGATCCATCTCGCGTGGGATTCGTGACCTCACATCTGTCCTGCAGTCTGTGTCTTGTTTTAAACATTTCCTTCCACTCTTTTCAGCCCTAAGTCTTCATAAACCAGATGTCGGTGTTTGAAAACGAGGTGCAGGTCGTGGGTACGCCAATGAGCCCAGGTGATTTGCAGCTTTCTGCTAAGGCTGCTGTAGAATAGTTGGGTTTTCTCTTCTAGGTGTCCCTTCTGGGACTGTGCCACTACTGACACTTTTTCTTAGCGGGCTGCAAAACCTCTTTTCAGTGTCTTCCCCTAACAACTTTTTCGTAATCCTTTCCCTAATTTCCTCCATAAGCTCATGGACGCTTGTGGAAATCCTGGAAAAGATACTCTCTAGACCCCACGTAAACAGCCACTCCATGTTTCCAACAGGCTTTAAGGGCTGGATAAGATGCTGCCGCGCAAGGAGAGCAGATCATGGAATAAGGACTTTTTTTGAGTAGTAGAAACTTCCTCCGCAATTCGGGAACAGCCGGAGCTTTCACCGGGGAGCACAGAGCTCCGTTTCTGCCTGTCGCGGGCCGGCCGCAGGGCGGGGGGGGCCTGTCACCGCTCTCCCGCAGAGGAACCCCAGCCCTGGCGCTCGGAGAAAGGGGAAGGGGCGGCTTTCGCAAGCTCTCCTGCCCGGGGAGCGGCGGGAGGCTCCRAGCCCCCTGCCCGGCCGCGTCCCCGTTCCCGCCCCTCCGTCCTGGCGCCTCCATCCTCCCCGCCTCGAGCGGCCGGGCCGGAGCCGCCGAGCCCGCGGCCGCCCCGCCCCGCCCCGCCGGGAGGGCGCTGCTGCGGTGGGGCTGCCCCGGCGGGAAGCGCCCGGTGCCGCGGGGTTTGTGCGAGGCCGGCGCCGCCGCGGCGCGGAACAAAGAACCCGGGCCGGGCCGGCCCCGCCGGAGGGGCAGCGCCCCGCGGGCACCGCCGGGTGGAGGGGGCGGCGGCCGCCCCGGCCATGCAGCTGCCGGGAGGGGAGGAGCGGAGCGGAGCGGGCGGTGGCGCCCCGGAGGGGGCAGCGCCCGGAGGGAGAGGGGGGAGGTCTGGCAGTGCCGGCAGCCTCCGAGCGGGGCAGGGGCGCGGCGGGGCCGTGCCCGGGGTCGGCAGCCGCGGCGGTCGCCCGGGAGGGGCCGGAYCGCGCTTCATGCGAGCAGGAGCCTCTCCCCGCCGAGCGGCCTCCCCCTGCCCTCCGGTGCCCGGCGTTCCCTGCCGAGCCGCGGCAGCACCGGGGAGTGACTCGGCGAGGGGAGGAGAAGAGGAGGAAAAGAAATCGGATTGCCGAAGGGGTTAGGAAGTGGGGTGGGGAGACGACGCTCTCTCCCCCGCTCCCTCCCCGCACACATTTGTGAAGCTTTTCAGAGTTATCCTTCAGCATCAGTGGTACCGGCAGGCGAGCTCGGGGGAGCCGCGACAGCGGAAGGTGCTCGGCAAACTGCAAGAGCGATCAGAGGGAGCGGAGTGGCCCGGGCCGGCAGACCCTACCCCTACCCCTGCCCCGGCCTCTGCCCGCGCCCGCGGGGCACCGCACTTCCCGGCTCTGGTGGTTTATATATATATATATTAATACTTTTTTTTTTCTAATTTTTTAAAACGTTTTTGCTGCTCCTCTGGCTTTGTCGGAGGACAGATTGTGGAGCTTTGCCGGCGGGCGTGCTGCCGGACCGCCTGCCCTGGACGTGCGAGGCGGGGAGAGAGGAAGGGAGAGATGCCTCTGATTAGAGGGAAAGTCGTGCTCATCCTCGGATTCGTCTTCCTGACAACTTTCCTGGCTGCGGTGAGAGGGCTGCCCGTGAGAGGGAAACAGCGCAGCAATAGYCCGAAGGAGAGGAGCTCCAAGCTGGCGGAGGTAGGGCAATCTCTGGGGAAATACGGAAAGTCGGGAGGGTGCTAGGGCGAGCCCTTGCTCAGTTTCTGCACCCCCTCTTGTGTCCGGGAAAGCTGATGGGGWCAGCCGGCCACCTGGGCGGTCACCGGGGCTCCCAAGGAGGCAGCTGTGCATCTCGGACGGCGGCAGCATCCAACACGTGTCCCGCGGCCGGGCCGCCCAGAGCTCCGGCGAGAGAAGCAGCAGCGGGGAGAAGCCGGGTTTGGGGCCCCGCTCTTACGGGCCGTGTGCTCACTCGCTGAAGGGCAGAGCCCTTTCCCGGCCTGCGKGATTCTCAGATCTTCGCTCTGCACAGAGGCTGAAGGATTTCAGCCACCATCCCTCCTCCCCTCCCCGCCGAGGCGCCCCTGGGGCAGGTTTCAGAGCGGCCATGCTCCCTTCTCCTCCCGGCAGCCGGCGTCCCCGCCGTGTCCCCCGGGGCAGGCGGCCCTGGGAGCCCCTCGGCCGGCCGGGGGATGTCCCGGGGCTGCCCCTTTCGCTCCTCTCAGTGCCACATCCTGGCCCGCCCGGGCTGCCGAGCGCGGATTGTGGAAAGGGAAACTTCAGCAGGCAATGAGGGACTGGTCAAACGGAGCCAACTGGTGGGACCTGATGGGGATGACAGGAAGGGAATGGGAAAGAAACCATCGGGAGAACGGGAAGTAAGAAAGAGTATTGGATGGTTAAAACATGCTGTTTCCATCTTGAAACTGTTCTCTGGAGGAAAAGTCATTCAGTCAGCAGGGCTGTGTTTAAAAAGTACTCTTTCAAAAAATGCTGCCGCTAAAAGTAGGTGAAAGGAGTGATTGAGAAAAGTGGCGATAGGAGGAGTTTGTGCAGGACAGGGTAAGAGCAGCTCAGCCCTCGCTGGCGATACGCAGCAGTGTGGAAAGCAGCAGATTGGATCTTCAGTGTCAGACTAGCAGAGGAGGCGCGAAGTGACGGGAGTGTACTTTATTGCTGGTTAGTGCCCAAACAGCGTGCTGATCTATGGACGAGTCATGCTGGCAGCTCCTGTCGGATGCACTGAACTCCATTCCAGCACGAAATCCAGGGCGTAGGTGTGAGGAGGGAATCTGCCGCATGGAATGCTTGGCCAAAGGGCGAGAGAGGGCACAGCTGTATCCAGCCCAATATCACTGGTCAAGCCTGGTGATAGTTTTGAGTGGGTGCGGGCTGAGCAGATTCAAAGAGGACTGCTGGGGATGATGCGCTGTAGCGCTGGTAAAACCACGTTGGTGCTGTACTTTGCTGGTGAAACTTCAGCCATAGACATATATGCTGCTTCAATTGCCAGACAAATGCCAGGCAGTGACCTCAGGCCCCGGCTGCAGAAGGAGTAGGAATTTACATTTGAAATCCGGGAAGGTATTGCAGYCCTGTGGCAGGGACCAAGGATAGGGACAAGCTGTGAGGTGTTGTGCGTGTCCCTGCCACGGGACCCTGCAGCACAGTCTCAGGCTTTTTTTTATCTGACATCTGAAATCCATGGGAGAGCGGGTGAGCTGCGGACAGCCGCGGTTTGTGAATGGCTGTGAATGGGGAGCGTTGTGCGGCCAGCCAGAGATCACACACGGCACTTACACAGCGCGGCCTCTGTCCCCGGGACCTTTGCTTCTTGCAGAAATACAAACATACAAGAAGGTTATAGGCAAAGGTTTGAGGGTGGAGGTTAGGAGCAAGGAGGAAGTTGAAGAATGGATTCCTCTGGCAGTCTGTTGGTGCTCCTGTGCACCCTGCATCCCTCAGAGTACWGGCGGCACAGTTCTCATGGCAGGGAGGAAGCAGTAGATACTGGCACGTGTCTTCTAGCTCTGTTTTGGGATTAAATTCTCTATTTCTGGTGCGTGCAGGGGACAATTTAGAGTAGTCATGCCCAGCTGTTTGAACTGAAGCAGAGAGCACAAACGCTGCAGCATGGTGGTTAAGAAAAAATCCAGAGTGATTTTGGGTCATCTGCACAGATGGTTCCTGTTGCAGCACTGATACGTCCTGTCTCTATGGCAGCAGGGCAGCCACAGCTGGAGTATTGGTTACACTATGGGTAATGCCCTGCAGATGTGGGTAGAATGAAGGGGGCTGTGAGGAGAAAAATAGAAATGACAGAGCAGATAGACAATCAAAACCATTAAACAATTACATAACTTGGGCTTAACTTCAATTTAACAACTTTGTTTAAAGCAAACATTTATCCTTGGTKTAGAATTGAATGGGAATTTTTGTCATCTGTACTGAACCTTAGAGTTGTGCTTCTATGCTAAAATAATTTAGAAAAATTAAATAGGCTTTTCAGTAATGTTTTTGAGATGTAGGAAATATGGAGGGACCACATGCTTTATTTTTGGGTGCTAGCCTTATCGGTATGTCTAAAGTCCTGTACCTCAGTCAGGATTCTTCACTTCCAGCCATTACCAAAGGAGCAAGTACTTGCATTTACATTGTCTCAATAGTGACACTGGTCAGCAAAGCCTTGCCTGAATTATACTGTGCTCAGCATAAGCAACAGTTGTAGTGAGAATATTTTGTTCTTTCTTCACTCTGTTTGACTAGAAGTTGAAAAGGCAGAATGAAAAAGTTGAAGGGCAGTTTTCTTTCCAAACTAGGACTTAAATCTAACAAGAGAAGATACCTGCTCATTTGGAAGTTTGTTGGTGATGTTTGGGAAAGCAGGTGGGTTCAGAAACAGCAGACAAGTCTACAGCAGGATTTTTAAAAGTGCTTTTGAGGGTTGAATGTTGGTAGAAATGCGGTAGGGTGGAGCACTGACCACTAAGCGGCTCTTCAGATTYGAGTAACTTCATAGTTGGTGAAGCTCGTGTCCCTTATGGAGACAAGGTACAGCTCATCACATCACTTGGTTTATTTTTGTATGAAGTCAGAAGGTTTAAATGAAAAATATGTTTTGATAAACTGACTGGATTTCAAAATAYTGGCTCTGAACATTGTTAATAGATGTTTGGATTCTTTCCGACTTCTACCAATTGGTTCCGGTGCTCTTCTGGTAAATAGAAAACAGCCCAAGTCCTAACATGCTAGAAATGTAAACGTTAGGAGTGATTAGATCTGTGAGAACCGACACAGCAACTTCAGTACTTGTGCACAGGAATAACAGTGCCGGCAGGAATGGTGCTACGAGCGTTGGAACATCCTGGCAGCGACAGGCTGACGCAGAGCAAGGCAGCAGTGTTTTATGGAGGGTCCCAGCCCCTCAGTCCAGCTCTTGTGGGTTTGATGAGTGCTCTTTTGCAGAAGGGAACCACTCTGAGAGAGGCACCCAAGAGCAAAATCAGCAAACTCCCCAAGGCACCCAGGGTATTACTGCAGGGCTGGAACAGGGGACAAATCCTGGCTGGAACTTGCTGTTGGAGGTCTCCTGGTCTGAGGCTGTGAGCAAAGCAAATCTGGCATCTGCGGTTAGAGATAATGGAAGGCAGCAAAAGAAATATCAAACATGGGATAAAGACTGAGTTGGCTGCAAATCAGTGGTTTTGTGTAGCACCTGATACAGCTGGCTCCTGGCCCCTGAGAAATAAGGAAATAAGTAACAGCAGTACAGATTATTTACTGGTTAAAACAGGTGGTGAGAATAGCAATGGGAAACTGCATGCAAAACTGAGGGTCTACACCTGATTAAAAATCATCGGTAGCAGTCTTGATTCAAATCAGCCTGCCCTGTRCATAAGGGCATGTGAGTTCTTAAGAATTAAATGTATAGCAGTGATGTGATGTCTGGCTGGAAATACCAGCAAATAGAGTGAACGAGCTCCAAGGGGACATGGTGTGGCTGTACTAGATAAAAAAGTGTTAAAGGGAAAGAAATATCAGCTGGGCTTGTGTGGAGTTTGTCAGGAGGCTGTAAGTTGGGATAACCGTGTCATTTGGGAGCCCTGTTGTAGCCTAGATACAATGATTTGTGGAGACCACTGGGGTAATGGCCTGCAGGCACAGAGGTCTGTGGGAGCCTGCCCTGTGCCTCCCCCACCAGCTCTTGCTCCCTCCTGACTCCTCTAGGGCTCTGGCCAGGAAGAGGATCTCAGTTTCCCMAGAGCTGTCTCACCCTGCTGTGGATCCCCAGCTTGCGCTGTCACCCATGTCACCCTGCCAGGGGCACCGTGCGGAGCTGCTGCCGCCTCGGGGGAGCCCCGCTGGRGTACGAGTGGGCAGCTGGGTCGGTGCTGGCTGCCTGCACAGCCGCATCCCCGCCGCCACTGCGGGCTGTGTCAGTAGCAGAGTCATTTTGCCTGAGGATGTGCTTTTTACCTTTTCATTTCTTCAGCAATTAAGCGTTCTTGTCCCTGGCTTTGTCCTTGGCGGAGGTCGGATTTGTGGGTACAAAACGTTCACTGAAGCATCCTTCCGCTCTGAAAGGGGCTCTTTGTGCGCAGGGAGGTACTTCGCCCTTTGTAGCAAATTTCCTTTTGAGAAGTGCCAAATTATCTTAGTCAACACAGTTGAAAACCCTCCCACCCTGGGGCTGAGACAGCAGCAGAAACAAAGGAGAGCCGGGTGTAGGGAAGCTGCCCAACAAGGGGGCTTCTTCCATTTTCACTGCATAAATAGGTCTGCTGCGTTCCCATTGTTACAATCAAAGGGGTTCCTGTAAAAGGCACATGTAAGGGGAAGAGATTAGGCATGAATCGCCCCACAGGGTATTGCCCTGCACTCTCTCTGGGTTCCCGAAAGTATCCAACTCTCGAGCAGCCCTCAAAGGCAGGCAAGTGAGGGATTCATCCTGCCTCCAGCCATGGTCCCTCCCATACCAGGGGGATGATGGAGGGAGTGTGCTAGAGATGAATTCCTRCTTTCCTCTTGTCAGTGACTTAGGGGTAGGGAGTATGAACTGGGATATTCTGTTTTGTTTTCCACAGCAGCAGTATTTCTCCTCTTAGAGTAATCCTCAAAACAAAAAGCCTGACACTTCCCATAGGGAAGCCTGAGGACACTCTGAGCTGCAGATAGACCCTCAAGTGTCCCGTGCTGTC